CCCCAAAACCCCAAAACCCCAAAACCCCATATGGATGAATAAGTTTGAATTTAAGGAAATTCTGAATTTAAATCAATTAAATAATCATTTTCATTTTGGTTATTTATCCATCAATTGATTTTCAAAATCATATTTATAGAATTTCTTTAATTGAGAAGAGATCAGATTCATGAAGCTCTCATTGTAAATTGCCTTGATAATACTCTATTTGTTTACATTCAAAATCAGGAGGACTATTTTTGGGTTTTAAGAGTGTCCAATAGCACTATTCCATTTAATCGAAATTAGTACCAGTAAAGCACTCAGCTACATTTTCCGACCCAATAAAATTTTGGCATGATGGGAAAAATGTTATTCTTGCTCTAGGAGTTGTGATGATTTGCATTGCTGGGTTGCCCTCAACAAATGGTCCAAAATATGTTTAGTAGTTATCTTCATACTCTTTATAGGAGAAATGGTCGCTTGAGATTCCATAAATCATAGTATTTGTTAATAATTTTCCATCACTACCCTAAGAAGTTGTTAATATTGGATCTTCGTAATAGAATCCTAGAATTGGACCAGCATTTGTTAAGATGAAGCCAAAGATGCGACTCTTTAAAAGTATGGCATTCATAGCATCATCACGTTATTTTTACCAGCTTTAAGCATTAAAGACTTGAGTAAAAGACTTAATGTTTGTACCAAAAGTTTCGTTTACTTTTTGAGCAAACTTCTTAAATGTGATTTTAGTAACGAATGAGTCTGATGGTTGACCGATAATCGTTGGAAACACTTCTGGAGTTGTTGATACAATTGCTGGAGGCATATTAGTGGTTGGAGGTACTGTAGTTGGAATATCTGTAGTAGATGGAGGTACTGTAATTGGATTATCAGTTGTAGATGGAGCAACTGTAGTAGTTGGAATATCTGTAGTAGTTGGAGCAACTGTAGTACTTGGAATTTCAGTTGTTGCTGGAACATATGTTGTTGCTGGAGCATCTGTAGTTGCTGGAATATTTGTAGTTGATGGAACATTAGTAATTTACTATAATGTAGGAGCAGTAGAAGTATGTGCTGTGCTCACTATACCAAGATATTATGCCTCATCCTGATGTCCTACCTAAGATGAAAGACTAAGTAGACCTTTTTCATCAACTATTGCTACAGAGATTTCATTGTAAGCTGATAGACTGGCTCCTCTAGCGCCTGAGACTATGTACCATTTTTATGCAACTGTTTACCATTTGAGGATTTGATAGTTGATTACATTTGCCTCTTGCTTTAAAGCCCACAAAGAACCATCGATACCGGCACTAATACTAACAAGCTTTTCCCCACCGTAATTGGAGTCAACAGTTCCATCACTCTAAATCAAGATGGGCTAGTCTTTCAGCAATGTAATGCCCTTATAACCAGAGAGGGCCTTGTACGTATAGTCTTCAACTCCAACGCTTCTCCATGGAGTTGATAGAGTATCTTTAGTTAAAGCGCCTAGACCATCATGCAAAAGATAGATCTCTCTATTAACAGTGACTTCAAAGTCAAATGAACCACAGATTAACTTCTGTTTCTAAGAATTGAGGATGCAATTATTTTAGTCCAAATAGTAAATATTTCCAAGTCTGTCGAATCTAACAGCCTTTGCTTAAAAGTTAGCATCAGTTAATGACCAGATATTGGATGTGATACTGTAAAGGTAAACGAAGTACTTCTTGGTTTCCATTTCGGATTCGATACTTTGAATGGCATAGACATCTCCATCTGGACTGGTCTAGACATCAATGAAAGCATTAACTACGGACCATGAAAGTTTTTGAGTTGCATTCCAGTTGAAAGTATTGGTTGCTTCTTATCTCCACTTTAGCTGTGATCTTTGCTTCTACATTACATCACTGATCTGAATTGAAGTACAAGCCCCCAAAAGTATTGCAGCGGTTAGTATAGTTTTATGAAACATTTGAATTTTAAATTTAATATAGTTTCAAACAGGCAGAAATTTATAGCTCTAAGATCCAACAAAATCAATTTCTCAATGATATTTGAAATTTCAAGAATTATTGAGATCTGAATTTTCAGGATGTATTGACAAGGAGATTAGCTAATTTGATTGTGATTTAAGTGAAATAGGGTAATATATGCAAAAAAAAATGCTAAAACTTAAAACAAGTTATTAATCTTGAAATTTGAAAAAAATATTGTGGCACATTTTGGAGTAATGGTGCTATCCTTGAAAATATAAAATGATAATAGATTTTAATAGAAAAAAATGCTTATAGATTGATAAGTTAACTTTAATTATAAGAATTACACTGGAAATGGGATCAAAAGTCCCTCGTAAATAACATTTAAGTTTTTTGAATTTGAATTGATGAATTGATTTTTTTCTTAAAGCAAATTTTTGATTGTTAAAGAAAGTGATTTATATCATTTGACAATTTCAATATAAAACAGTACGTAATTTAAAATAAATGTAAAGAAAATGATAAGGCTGAATTACTTTAATTATTGACTTTAAAAATATGAGATATACTATTGTTAGGGTTAAAATTGATGATATAGCGAAATTCAAAGATAAGTATACTGAATCAAATAGTGGCGAAATGCCAATTATTCTTTACCAATAAGATCTTGGATTTCTATTTCTTCATAAAGTTTTAATTTAAATATCTTGGATGATAAAAACTCTAAATTCTTTCAAGAAAAATAATGTTGATGAGATATTGAAAAACTTGCTTGAATTTATTTAAGACAGGGAAGTCAATTATTTATTAAAAGTTTATCGTGATTATTCAAAATTTTAAAGTCCAGTATATTCATTAAACTAAAATCTAATTATTAATTACTAATCTCTTTAAATTTGCTTAGTTTTGCATCTTGGGGTTTTGGGGTTTTGGGGTTTTGGGGTTTTGGGG